TCTCTCCCTTCTTCCTCCTTTCCACTCTATCTAAAAACCAATGAAAAAATATCCTCAGGTGAGGATTTAAAAAAAGTCTCCACCTATAGCACTGAGCAGTGGGACAAGAAAATTACATTTACAAAGATTTCCAAGAAGAGTAGGGCAAGGCCCTAATGCATTTTAAGACTCAGCTCAAACCCCTCCTCCTACTCAAGCCTCTTCCAAATTTCCCAGCACAGTGATCTCTCCCTCTCTCTCACTCAGTGGCCCACACCATTTAACAGTTATTCTGCCCAGTGGTCCCATTCTAGGACCTCAGTCTAGGTCACAAGATCCCTGAGAGCAAGGACCATGTCCCTAAGATTCACATATCACGGGGGTGAGTTGGGAGGGCTGACATCATAATTCTTCCCTTAGCAACTTTAAGTGCCTTGAGGAAGTTACCCTAGAGTGCACTTGCGCATTTACTGATTTGTGATTCATCTCATTAGAATGCAGACTCTGTAGCATTGGGGCACTTTCTGCACTATTCATCACTATATGTGAGTTGGAGTCTTTATTTCCACATTGATACAATGGGACCACCAACCACTTCACACCAGTGTCATGACAATGAGATAAGAAGAGGCTCCATCATGTTCACCTCAAGGCAGGTCTAACACAGAGCTTAAAATAGCTCTGCAAATAGTTAAGCAAATACCTGCTGATGGTTCACAGGTTTGGGTTTTTGTTTTTAAAAAGAAAAGACTATGAGAGATTATCATTTCCCTTTTAAAGATGGAACACGTTTTGTAGGAATTTTCAAGAACTGTCAGCTGTTTAAATACATCCTTCCCCTCCCCAATTTTAAGTAAATACACATACAGAAATTCTATATTAATTAAAAGAAACAAGTTAATATTCACAGAAGAATTCACAATGGGTTTTCCTTAAATAGAAAATCTCCCTGGCACAATTTAAGATATTACATCAATCACAAAAATTGTATTTGCCACCCTGACCAGTTCGGCTCAGCAGTTAGAGCGTCACCCTGTGAATCAAAGGGCTGAGAGTTTGATTCCAGTCAAGAGTGTGTACCTGGGTTGCAGGTTCAATCCCTAGCCCTGGTTATACAGGAGGCAACCAATTGATGTGTCTCTCTCAGATAGGTGTTTCTCACTCTCTCCTCTCTCCCTCCATCCCTCCCTCCCTTGTACTCTCTCCAAAAAAATCAATGGAAAAATATCCTTGGATGAGGATTAACAACAACAACAAAATTGTATTTGCCAACTTTCCAGAAACATCTGCTCTTTAAAGTAAGTCAGGCCTCTGACAACTACAGAGAATTAAGTCTCTTCTGGGGGACTTTAATCCAGAGAACGGGGTTACATTTTCATTTACTGTTCCTTGAAAGACCTTGAACAAGTTACTTCAATTGCTGAGAAATAAGTGAAGCTACAGGACTGTAGCGTCTTTTGATTGTCAGTGTATCCGCCTTCTAAATTATTGGAGGCATGTCATAAAGAAGAGAAAGGTACAGCAAAGGGGTTCCCATTGCTGCAACTAATGTCCCAAAAAGCATGCAGAAATCCCTGTGTTCAATACTTGGTTAAAAATTGTTTCTCTATACCCTTGTTTGAAAGTAAGAATATACACACTTTTTACAAAATCAGACTCAGAATTTGGTATTTAGAAAATACAGTTTCATATTTTGAAAGCAACACATGTCATTACCCTCCCATCTGCATTTGCAACTTCCTGACATCTGGAGTTTATACACCACAGAGCAAAACACCTGTTGAGTCATATGAAGGACAGAGCCAAATTTCAAAGACTGGAAAGAATCTTTTTCAGATCTTTGCTTTCCAAATAACCTTCTATAAAGCAGTTTTAAGGTAAAAGAAGCAAGATACTGGGAGGAGTGGTGACTCTACTTCCCCTGCCTAGGGTGCTCTCTGATACCATGACTCACCTGGTGACCTGGCTACTAGCCCAGAATTCCAGGATGAGTTTTGAGTCCTGTTGACCACCTGCATACTTCCCTACTGTGTTTCCTATCTATCCCATACTGATCAGACACAAACCCATACGATGCTGTCCGAGGAAACATAGTACTCTCAGCAACACTGCTGAAGGCCAGGCTTAATGTCACAGCCCCCTTCCCACCCCCAACTCCCCACTCTCACAGGATTCATCAATCAATAAAAAAGGCCAGTGATTGGGTATGAGTAACATGCTAGAGACTGTGCAGAGAGCTTTATAAGTATTTTCTCATTTAATGTTAACAATAGTCCTGGGTATTCCCAGGCCATCCACTGCTGGTCAGAAGAAACCTAGCAGCTTCTGCTGTAGGGTCTGTGACCTCTGGTTGAAGTTCCCTGGGCCCTGCGTAGATGGTTTGGGACACAGTTCCAGCTGAGCCAGCCTGAGTTGTCCCAGTCAAGGCTCCAAACTTGTGACAACAGTCCCAACTATAGATCAATGGGGAGCAGAAGCAAGCCATACCCATTGGGCCCTTTCCAAAGTTCTGAGCCATAGAACTGTGAGAGTAATACAATGCTTGGGGGTGGTTTGATATGTAAAAATAATAACTAGAACAGATTTCAGACTGTCCTTATTATACAGACAAAGAAACCCATGTAAAGAACAGTAAGGTGAAAGCAAGGATTCAGACACAGGTAGAATTCTCACATGCTCAGAGCCACTAAGCTGTACCACCCATCTGCCATTTCTGTTTGTTTATTAGAGTCATCTCCAGGACAGTAATACCAATTCTGCCCATGTAGAAGTGTCTTTGTCTGCCCTACTTTGAGGCATAATAGGTCAGTGGTTCTCAACCCTGCATATGCCTCAGGAGCACCTGGAGAGGTTGGAAACACAGATGGCTGAGCCCCACCCGCAGGGTTTCTGATTTCAAGGTCTAGGATGGGGCCTGAGAACTTACATTTCTAATAAAATTCCCAGGTAATGCTGATGCTGCTGGTCTGGGGATCACAGTTTGAGTAGTGGTACAGATTTTCCTGAAGGGGTAATAAGAGTTTCAAAAGTGATACTCCTTTGGAATAAGCCATCATCACACTGACTATCACACAGACAGATCAATCCAAAACATGCCTACCATTTCACAACCTTCTAGGGAGATCCCAGGGCAGCTATGGTCTGGCCTGGTCTTTTTTCATACTATCACCACAGTAGTTTGCACACAATGGCAAAGGGCAGAGATACTCCTGACAGATGAAATGGTGGACATACATATTCAAGGTGAGAATGTTGCTGAAAAACTTTTTCCACAAGGCAGTTTCTGAAGCTCAATTTCTGGGAAAATAAGTGAAGGAAAAAGAGGCACTTCTGCTAGCCTACTACATGTTGAACCCTACTGAATGAGGCACAAGTGGCCCTCCTGCCTGCCGTGTGAGGTCCATCCCCTGTGACTTATCTGGGAGTGAGAGGCTACAAGTATGCATAAGCCAACCCTGACCATTCACAGTGGCCTCAGGCCTCGACAGTCCCAGTCAGCTTGCACAGGAATTGCACAACACATTTACTGCTTTCTCCTTCTGTAAGTTGGTCCTTTCCCTTCAAGAGCACAGGTCACAAACTCTGCAAACCTAAGGGTTTGTTTTGTTGCTGTTTTTACCCACTAGTTCACGGACATTTGCTGCTGATTCAGTTTTAAAGAAAACACTTATCTAGTAAGTGATTCATTTTGATTAAACTACCAAAGTAGTATATACTATGAAAAAAACAAATTTGGTCCAAAGTTCTTCCCTAAGTTTCTTTGTTTGAAAAATAACTGCAAGACACTACCTATAATTATATGGGTATTTCTAAATATAAAAATTGCTACTACTATAGATCACCAGTAAGTGCTGAGACTGTTCCACACCTCCAGCATTCTGTCTGCACAATCAACCTAGCAAGTGGGCTTACTGTCCCTAGTTTACAAATGAGGAGACAGGCTCTGAGAAGTAGAGTTATAGGCCCAGTAAATGGTGGAGTTGTGCAAGACACCAGATCTTACATGGAAGTTCAGTCTTGGCCAGGGCCTGACCCTGCCATTAAAGATCTGCAGGTCCTTCCCTGAAACATCCCCTAGACCCCACCTCCATCTAACTGGGTACCTCATCCTCCTTTACCATGCAGGCACCAGAGCACCCCACCTGGCTGTAAGTCCCCTTCTCCCCAGGCTGCCCACACCCCAGCCTACCGTGCCTGGATGGCCACTGCCTCCAGGTCCTGGGCCTTCTGTCCTTGCTGCCTCGGGGCACAGTGTACTCAAACCACCACCCAAATTCTAAATCTTAACAAAACAATAGTAGATTCAATCCCCCCAGATACCAAATGACTGAGGGCTAGTGGCGCTGGTTTCTGGGACCTCAAACAGAACCAGGTCTAAAACAAGCCATGGCGGGGATGGGGGGGTATCTGAAACTGAAAGCTGGGAGGCCCTACCATTGTTTTCTTCCCTCCCACCGGCACTGCCAGGGAGCAAGGAGATAAGTGATTCCAGCTGCAGGCCTTGGGTTTTTTTTTCCTCTCACGATACACTACAGCTCTGTTTACATCGGCAACATTTCTCCCCAGGCCACTCGCCCGGCAGGCAGCTGATAGTAACAAGTAACTGAAGCTTTTCGGTTTTGCCACCAGCCCCGGGGACAGGAATGGGGAAGTCCCAACTCCTAGGAACCCGGAACCCACCCCAGCCTGCCCCAGGTATCGCCCTTTGCCCCCCCCCCCCCATCCCCCGCTTGCGCTCCGCCGGGCAGTGGAATCCCGTGCTTACGCTTGAGGGCTTGCCATTGCAGGAGGCAGCTGGGGCAAGGCTATCAGCTGGGAGACCCGAGCTGACGCTGGGCCTGGTCTCCTCCGGCGGGCGCGGGGAAAGCGGGGTCGCAGCGAATAGGAGGCTGCAGCCTCTGGGTCCGGAGGTGACAGGCCAACGGTTAGCGACCCGCCCGGGACCGCTGCGCCGGCTGGGTTCTGTGAGTCGCCTCTGGACGTATGAGTTGGGGTTCCATGGGTCCCCGCAGCCCACTCACCAGACACGTTCAGCTGGCCTCCCAGGAACCAGCCGATCTTGCCGCTCCTGAAGTCACAGTCCCAGACGGTGTGGTAGAGGGTGTCCCACACTAGCGTATCCCGCGCCAGCGGCCCCCAGAAGGCGGCGGGCTGCCGACTAGCCAGCACACTCAGCGTAGGGTAAGAAGCGGGCTGCGCTGGGTCCACAGCAGCAGGTGTGCTGCCGGGGAGCCTGGAGGCCCCTCTCCGCCTCGGGCTCACTCGGCTCGGCAGCCACCCCCGCGGTCCAGTGTGGCCATGCAGAATGCTCAGGAGCCGCTGGACACCGCAGCCCATACTGCGTGCCGCCATTTCCCCAACGTTCAAGGCTTCTGTACCCCAGCCACTGCAAGCCCGCAGTAGGGCAAGGAGCCTCACGCTCTCCAAGGGCCGCGCCCTGTCTCCGCCCTCCCGCCACCACCCACTTCTCAGGCCTCCTGCTGGAGGGAAGCTGCCTTTAGGAGCCCGCTGGGTCCCCACTTCCTCTCTCCCCGCCCTAGAGAAGGGGACCACTAAGGAGGAGGGAAAGCGGCCTGAGTACGAGCGCTGGAGTGCCGGAGTGAACCGAATCCTGGTTCTGGCGAGGCTGCCCTGAACTGCGATTGTCTGTGCTCTCGTCGTTTTGGTTTCAGTTTGTGTATCTTCAAGTTCCGACAGTTGCTCCAAGCAGCAAACTCCAGGACGCTGGCTGCGTTTGGTGTCTTCTGGATTGGAGGGAAGGAACCCTCATAAAACAGAAGGGGCTGATGCAGCGAAATAAACCAGCTTTGGTGTGAGAACCAAAGTTAGGTCGGTTGGCATCTAAAGCTGAAGTCAAAGTATTAATCTCTTTGTGTGACATAGAGAAAGAACAGCCCCCCCACACACACACACACTCCCGCCGCCAAACCCATCTGTACCTCCTAACACACAAACACAAGTAGCCCCTGTGGGCTAAATGGGCTGATAAGGGGGGGTGGGGGGCGTGTGGCCCACCGGGCGGGGGCCTGTTGGGATTTTGGGGACTGGGAATCCAATGCTTTTATCACCCAACTGCAGCCTAGCACCGCCCCACCTCTCCACCAGTCTTATGCTGAGAGAGAAGGTATGGGGAGAGGGGAAAGTTTAACGGAGAAGCAAAGGTTCCACTAATTTCTGCTGGTTTAGAATTGTGTACCTTTCCGGGTTTTCTCTGATTGCCTCATTCTCTGTGGCCTGGGTTCAAACCCTGGAATTTCTAGCTTTGTGATCTAGGGCAAATTCCTAAACTTTTCTGTGCCTAATTTTACTTTTTTAGAAAAGGGGACTACTATTGTGGCGTGACAGAGTCAAAGACCACTGGAGAACTGAAGTCCAAATAACAGCCGTGTATTAGCCCGCGGGGGTCTGACTCCAAACACCCCTGTGACAGTCTTTGGAGATCAGCCTCCACATGCTTTATTACATGCCTTTTATACCTTACAGCAAAAGTTTAATGATATAAGAAAATAGTATCTTCTTGATATAATGCAAGGGCTACAACAATGCTGTATAGAATTAGTTTGCCTTGCGGGTAATAGAAACACCCAGGCCCACCCAGGAATACCCAGGAACACTCAGTCTGTTATCGCAGGTGTATTTCAAGGTACATTGGGTAACACTTAGTCCCGAGCTGCACAAACACAATGCAAGCCTAATTTCTTGTGATTGTGGAGGAGGTCAAGTTTCTGACCCAAGGTCTCCAGGCTCTGTGGACTCTGTCAGATGCGTAGCCAGCTCCCAACAATTTCTTGGTTCAAGGAATATTTCAATTTACTGGGGTTATTTTTATCTCTATCCTGTTGATTAAATTCTTTACAAAACAGTTTCAGCTAAAGGGCACACAGTGACTTGCCCAATCATCAATTATGGAGCTAAACAAGTCAGCACAATAATTTACCAATCATCAATTATGGGGTATGAACATGTCAGCACACTATCTCCCTCCCCTGCTGTAGTAAAGAATAAATGAGATTGTGTCTTAAGCCTTGGGGCTAATAGGAATCCCCAATTTGAGGTTGAAGGAAACTATTCAATGCAAATAGCTCAACTGTGATACAGCATAGCTGTGGAAGAGCCCCATCTCTCCAGGTAGACAGCTCTACTCCCTCTCCGGAGAGACATCTTTGATATTTCAGCTCTGGGGAAAGGAAGTCTTAAGGTGGAAAAGAAAAGTGTACTCCCAGAACTAAAGGAGGGCTGACTTATATAGACAGAAGTCCCTACCTCTGGTCCCTGATCGGTCCATCTTCATGCAAATCCTCTCAGTTTGATGTGATCAAAATGCATTGTCCTGATTAGTCAGAATAGTGCCTTTCTGATTGGTCAGTGAAGATGTTGATGGAGATATAGCCCTGTAGCTCCAATTGGAAAGGGAAAGTCTCAGCCCTATTGGTTGAAATAGGATTCCAGAAACTCCTTTATAAAAGGCTGGATCAGCCTGTCAGGTGTTGCTCAGTGGATTGAGTGTGCTTCCATGTACTGGAAGGTCCTGATCAGGGCACAGGCCTGAGTTGTGGGCTCAATAACCAAGAAGGGGCGTGTAAGAGGCAGCCGATCTATGTTTCTCTCTCACATCAATGTTTCTATCTCTCTCTCCCTTCCTCTCTCTCAAAAAAATCAATAAAGTCATATTTTAAAATAATAAGTAAATAAATAAATAAAGGGCTGGATCAGATGGCAGAAACACAGTGCAGGAAGGCAGTTCAGTGCAGGAGGCAGGTAGCTTAGTTCAGGCTTCTTCCTGAAATGCCATATGCATGAGAGGCCCCTGTGTAAAAATGACTGCTACACTCTGTTTTTGTGTTTGTTTGTTTGTGTCCAGTTAGCCACCAGAAGCCCTTCTTATTGGGTATCTGCTTTCTCAGGGTCCACACCTGAAATCAGCACACAGAGAGCTTAATAGTGGAGGAGGTGTTTTTGTTGTCAAGCCAGGAAGGATAGAAGGGAACTCAAAGAAACTTCTCTCAACCAAATTCTTACTGTTTCAACACCCAGGAAGTAAACACATAATAAAAAAGGTTAAGCACATGGGAAAGGAGATTTTTGAAAACTGGTTCATTGAGTTCTTTGGGTTTGGGAAAGATTCTACCCTCTTAGCTATGAAATTTGCAGAAAGAAAGTCCCTGCCATTCCAAGGAGATTCTGCTGTCAGTTAGCCCCAGGCCATGTTGAGTATTGGCTTCTTGCCATAGACGAGAAGATTTTTAAGGCTAGAGAACATGATAATAGCTAGCAGTAGACAGGTGCCCTGATCTGTGCCACATGCTTTTTAAGATGACTCTGACTGGGGCAAGTGGGTCTCCCAAGGGATCCGTTATCAACGAAGACTGTTTCTTACAGGTGTCCAAATGCTGCAACACTCTGAGTAATGTCAGTTGTAGGACCGATGAAGACAAACAGCAAAAGGGGTGTTGGTGGGTGGTACCCCTAAAGCTGTTAAAACTAGAAGCTTTAGCTCTGGCCCTGGACAATGTGGCTAAATGGTTAAAGCATAGACCTGGACACCAAAGGTATGCAGTCAAGGGCACATACCTGGGTTACAGGTTCTATCCCTGACCCAGTTAGGGTGAGTGTGGGAGGCAACCAATCAACGTGTCTCTCTCTCCCTCCCTTCCACTGTTTCTAAAAATCAATGGAAAAAATATCCTAGGGTGAGGATTAACAAAAAACAAATAAACAAGCAAAACTGGAAGGTCTGGAGGTAGAAAGTTAAGGCTCTACCACTTGCTAGCTGTGTGGCCTTGAGTGAGCATCTATCCTTTCTGTGCTTGTTTTCTCATATGTAAAGTGATGATCAAAGCATCTATCTCTAAGGATTGTGAGCGTCAGCAATCGTAGCTGTACCACCATCTCCAACTTAAATATCAGGTCTGAGATATAAGGTTCCTGAAGGATGCCTCCCCAGTCCCTCCTAAGTTCTGCACCTGCCAACTATAGCTTTCCGTACAGGAGAGCTCTTCTCATTTTAAGGTTGAAGGGGGCTTCCTGGGGAGAAAATGTAATCAGCATGGCTTGGATAACCTGCTGCTTTCTCAGAATTATCCAGGCCCCACAGGACATAGCTGTGTGGATTGAGGCTAGGGCGGGTGTGTTTGTGTGTGTGTGTGTGTGTGTGTGTGTGTGCGCGCCGAGTCACCAAAGCCATTCACTGTAGTCAGGTGTCATCAATGAATCTGTAAAGCACTCTGCTTCCTCTTCCCTATATTATTTCTTTTCCTGTTCCCTTCATTCCCCCATTTCTTCTTTTCAATGACACACAAAGGATATTTGTGGAGCCCTTTCTGTATGTACAGCCCACAGAGGGCTGTCAGCTCAACAAGAATGAACCCAACACAACCCTTGAAATCAAGATCATGATTGGGGGAAGAGTGTGGAGAGAAACAGAGAGACACACATCAACTCAAATAACTGAAACCCAAAACAAAAAAATCTATCATCAGAACACTGAAGAGTTTTGGAAGAAAGAGAGGACCCAGTTGGCTGGGAGAATGGGAGTAGCTACATGAGAGTGAAGGACTCACCTTCTCTTCCAGTTCCCATTTTCTGATGTTCCCATGAACTCAGTGGTAGCAATGACATGTGAGTAGCCTATGTAATCAGCTTCAGCAGGGGGGGATCCATGATTCCCATACAGCTGCAGCAAAACCTCTATCTCTATCTTGTAACAGTTTACACCAGATCCTTGTGGGGTTTACCTAGCAATCCATAGCAAACCCAGGATGAGAAAATTTACCACCAAAGAGCAGGAAGACACAGGAGGTAAAATCCAGGACTGACTTCAGGTGGTATTAAGTTGGCAGCTAGGTGTTCTCCTGGAGCTGAGGGACCCCCCATCTGTGGGAAGTACTACTGGGGAGCAGTTAGACCTCATGGTGGGGTTTATTCTCTGTCAGTTCTAGCAACATGCTAAGTTTCATCAAACCAAATCCTCTTTTAGATTCACTTGTGGCCTCAGTGGTCAAGAGAATCATCAGAGAAGACAACAGCATGTCTTGTGACTGCTAATCATTGACACCTGGAAGAACCAGTCTCCTAACTGCCAGGTGCACAGGGCTAAGGGAAGCCAAGACCCCCATGCCCATACCCACCTCTTTTTGGTCTCCTGAGTGGACACCCTTGCTGGAGTGATAGCACCTCCTGCTCCTACTCTCATTTAAGGCCAGGCTGGCATTGTTGGTGGTGATCACACAGACACATACGAGTCACTCCAAGGCCAGTTGTAAGTAGCCACCATCAGACATGTATCAAACCCTGTATTTATAACTTGAGGAAGCTGACTGGACAAAGCACTGGACAGGGAGCCAAGAAAACTAGACTAGAATCTTAGTTCTGACCAAGCCCCCCATAGGATAAGTCCCCGAACATCTCCAAGCCTCAGTTTTCTCATCTGCATAATGAACAAATGTGAGCCAAATTCTGAATCCTTTACCTCTAAAATTCCAAGTGGTGCATTCATCCCAATAGGGGTATGTCAGACTAAATATCCAAGTTCTTTCTGTTTCCCTAAATCACAGCTAATGCCAGTGAGGGGGCTCCATGGATGTGTTTAAAGGGTGTTTCACTTCAGCTTTGGAGAGCTCAAGC